ATCAATTTAATTTTAATTTGCAATGCATCTAAGCTCCACCATAGTTTCCCTATTGTCACACCCACAACCCAGTTGGATCCGAGACGACCATTTGGATTTTCCGACAAATATCTTGCTTACAATGCCACACAAGCCTGGTCTCCCTTTATTATGCGAAAAGCATGAATTTCAAGGTGAAGTAAATCCCCTCAACTCCCACCATTTTGTCATAGACCTTGATGGATTTCCGACCTTGTAATTGGTAGATGAAGCATATTTATTGCGTAAGAATGGATGTAGGAACGTCTGGCCCAGAAAGTAGTTCATTTGTCTCTTAAGCATCACATCTAAACCCGGTTTGGATATTGATAAGACTTGGAAGAATTTAAATGTCCAGTCAAAGCTGGAAGGGAGCGATATTCGGGCTGCATGGCGAAGTGGAATTCTGTGCAGCAATCAAACCTTAGTTACACTTCATCATGGCAAGATTATCTATCAATACATCATAAAAGCCTGTCGAAACTGGAAAATCTGAGTAGTAGGTTTTTTTATCTATGTCAGGAATACAAGTCTAATTAAAGATTATGTTTTCTATAGTAATCGACAACGTTACTTATATTCGTATTAAAGTAGGGTTTCGAGACTACCAGTAAATCAGTGTGATGAGGATGTATTCACCCTATTTCGTGTAAGGTGATGAAGGACTGGTAGTAGAATTTTCCCACAATCATATGAGTATGTATTCACCCTATTTCGTGTAAGGTGATGAAGGACTGGTAGTAGAATTTTCCCACAATGATATGAGTTTTCACCCTATTTCGTGTAAGGTGATGAAGGACTGGTAGTAGAATTTTCCCACAATGATATGAGTTGAGCTGGCCCCTATTTCGTGTAAGGTGATGAAGGACTGGTAGTAGAATTTTCCCACAATGATATGAGTTGAGCTGATCCCCTATTTCGTGTAAGGTGATGAAGGACTGGTAGTAGAATTTTCCCACAATGATATGAGTTTAGCTGACGCTATTTCGTGTAAGGTGATGAAGGACTGGTAGTAGAATTTTCCCACAATGATATGAGTTGAGCTGACGTTACCATTGAATTATTTCGTGTAAGGTGATGAAGGACTGGTAGTAGAATTTTCCCACAATGATATGAGTTTAGCTGACTTTTACAATTTCGTGTAAGGTGATGAAGGACTGGTAGTAGAATTTTCCCACAATGATATGAGTTGAGCTGACGTTTCTTTCGTGTAAGGTGATGAAGGACTGGTAGTAGAATTTTCCCACAATGATATGAGTTTAGCTGACTTTTCCTGAATTTCACATAGCCTTGCTTTCCCAAAAGTTATTCTCATCCTGGGTGGACTGCAGTTTCGACCTCGCATCGATTATCAACACCCTCAGCGGGATTTGAACCGCGACAGTGCAGGACGGTAGCTTGACACGCTAACCACTCGGAACACCCTCAGCGGGATTCGAACCGCGACAGTGCAGGACGGTAGCTTGACACGCTAAACACTCGGCTACACCCCCTCAGCGGGATTCGAACCGCGACAGTGCAGGACGGTAGCTTGACACGCTAACCACTCAGCTACACTGCTCAGGACGGTAGCTTGACACGCTAACCACTCGGTTACACTGCCACGAGTACCCTTGAGCTCAGCGGGATTCGAACCGCGACAGTGCAGGACGGTAGCTTGACACGCTAGCCACTCGGCTACACTGCCATGGAAAAAGTCAGCTG